TGTTGGAAGAGGTACAGTTCTGAGGATTGTTACGAAGTGTTGGAAGAGGTACAGTTCTGAGGATTGTTAAGAAGTGTTGGAAGAGGTACAGTTCTGAGGATTGTTACGAAGTGTTGGAAGAGGTACAGTTCTGAGGATTGGTAAGAAGTGTTGGAAGAGGTACAGTTCTGAGGATTGTTACGAAGTGTTGGAAGAGGTACAGTTCTGAGGATTGTTAAGAAGTGTTGGAAGAGGTACAGTTCTGAGGATTGTTAAGAAGTGTTGGTAGAGTCACAGTTCTGAGGATTGTTAAGAAGTGTTGGTAGAGTCACAGTTCTGAGGATTGTTAAGAAGTGTTGGTAGAGTCACAGTTCTGAGGATTGTTAAGAAGTGTTGGAAGAGGTACAGTTTAAAGAAATGTTGAAAAACATTCATATCCAGAATTAGTAAATTATTAAGTTAGTAATTCTCCCATTTCTCCCTAGAATTAGTAAAATAAGATTACTAAGATAGTATTTCTTCCCTGAATTAGTGTAATAAAAATATAGCAATAGTATTTCTTCCCACGATAACAAAATAAGAAATTGCACGCTCGCTCCTCAACAGATTTATAAAACAAGATTTGTTTTTTTGTCTCACGAACCTTACAACACCTAAAGCATTCACTATGTAACTTACTGTCTCTGGTTTGACCTTATAATTGCGTTTACTGGACTGTTTCTAGTTTGCCTTTATAATTTCGTTTATTGGGCTGTTTCTGGTTTGACCTTATAATTTCGTATATTGGGCTGTTTCTGGTTTGACCTTATAATTTCGTATATTGGGCTGTTTCTGGTTTGACCTTATAATTTCGTATATTGGGCTGTTTCTGGTTTGACCTTATAATTTCGTTTATTGGGCTGTCTGTGGTTTGACCATATAATTAAAATTTCGTTTATTGAACTATTTCTGGTTTGACCTTATAATTTATTTTATTGAACTGTCTGTGGTTTGACCTTATAATTTCGTTTATTGAACTGTCTCTGGTTTGACCTTCTAGTAAAAAAAAAGTAATAAAATGCTAACATGAAGTTTAAGTATTAATTCGTATGTACAACAAATTTTCTTCTGTGTCGATAATAACAACGACTTTCATGAAGACTACAGAACACACGTAAAGTTCAAGGTTATTCTGTTGTTTACCTACATGTACGAGTTTTCGTGTTTTTTGTCTTCCGCATACCAAGTGTATTAATCATAACAAAAACCTACGGCCGAGGGTACACGCATGCGTCCAACGAAACAAGGTCAGGAGGTGATTACCCGCTTCAATAATAGGTGAACTACAGTTGCTACTGTTGCGTTCCGAGCAATGATAAACATGTTTACTGGTAAATGCTTGATGCATTGTTACACAGATTATTGTTATATAGAGTTCCAATACTAGGATAAGCACATTATTGTTAAATTTAATATCGCTGTCGATCTCACGTGACATTTGAAAACATCCCAGGATCAAGTAATGACATCATTTATTCACTTCAAATTCCAACTCAAACAATCACATGTATCACGGGTTTCCAGTGTATGATTGGTTTGATAATAGAAAGATGATAACGTAAAATCAATTACTCAAAAGGTAATAAAACTGTATTTAAAAAGTTACTCTCATTGTTATATTAATATGTAAAAACACTGAGAAAATAGTAAAAACCGATTTAATTTGAAGTTCCCGACTTTTGCATGAAAACCACATTTTTATAAAAAGTATACCAAAAATGTTACATTCACCAACAACTTTCAACAGATAGTAAAAATACAATTTTATAAAGGGTATACCAACTTTATTACTTTCACCAACAACTTTCAATAGTGTTGAATATACATGACTGATTAAATTAATGCAAGTATTATGATTTAGATGGTTTAAGTATAGCACGAGTGTTAAATG